GGGTGACCTGACACTCTATCACGACTGGGCGCTCCTCCTCGTCGAGTCGTGCGGTCACTGCCCGCTCGAAGTCGACGACGCCCCTCAGGGTGGCCAGGAACGTCGTGCCACTGGCCGCCGCAATCCCCGAATCGCTTACACGGTGAGCCAAAAAGGCTGAATGTGAGCCCTATTCCTCCATCCAGTCCCCCATCCCATCCCCCCCGTCCTCCTGAGTACCGGCGCGACCGCCCCGATTGTCAACCCAGTCCAACTGGCTGTCGAGGTGATGGTCATGGTGACCATCGCCTCGGCGTCGGGCGTCGAGGTGGTCATGGTGGCCATCGCCTCGACGTCGGGTGTCGGGGTGATGGGCATGGCGACGATCGCCTCGTCGTCGGGCATCGAGGTGATGGTCATGGCGACCATCGCCTCGTCATCTCCTATCGTCGTCGCCCCTCATCTTCCCTCCTCCGTTCCCTCCGCGGCGGAACGGGGGAGGGGGCGTCCAGCGCCGCGGCGGTGCCCTCGACGCGAGCCGCGTTGCGGCGAGAGAGGAGCGGCGGTGGGGGGTCGGGCTCACGCGATAGTCGATCCCCGCCTCATTCCCCGCCTCATCCCCCACGTCATCCCGCCCCCCCCCCCTCGACATCGATTCAGCAGACTGGCCGCGAAAGAAGCCCATGTGCCCATGGGTTCCAGCAGAGAGGCGGTGTCCTACAAACGCAAGCATCGCAGCCTAACCGCGAGGACTGGAGGGATCGTCGTCGTCGTCGCATTCTTCGTCGTCGATCTGATCGCCCCGCCGAGGCTCGTCGTCGCTCTCAGACCCGGCGGCGCCGCGTGCCAACGCCGCGTTGCTGCTCCAAGGCCTGGCGCGCGTTCGCCGCGCACGTGCGCGCGAAGTGCGAGGGGTTCTGTGAGTGCCCCATCGCCCATCTCTCGATCAGTCTGCACATCGCGTCGTTGGCCTCGCGGTGCCCCTCGTTCGAGGACTGGGCCAGGAGGAATCTGTTCTGCTGGCCCGTCTCGTCCACCCCGAAAGACCAAAAAGGGCCCCGAGCCAGATGCTGGGGCCCCGCTCGGACGTGGCCCAGCCGGGCCCCCCGCGGGCCGCTGGCGCCTCCTCGCCGACCGCGGGCGCCTCCTCCGCGGCAGCCTTTCAGCGACATCGATGTATTTGGCGAGTCTGGCGCGCGATAGTCGAGGGCCACTATGGGGCATCGGGGCACAGGCGGGGTCAGGACATCGAAGAGTGGAGACAACATTGGGCGATTCACACATGAGCCTTCTGGACTTCCACCTCCTTGCTCACTGGTTGTGCAGATGATGCTGCGTCGACGTCGACTGCAGCCGCAGTGGCTTCGCCGGCTGGTGCTTGCACGACGCCACCGTCGTGCTCTTCGGCCTTAGCGCCACGAGAGGGAGGGGGGGGTGATGAGGAAGAGAGGGCGGATAATGGGTGAGTGAGCGAAGCGAGAAGGATGGTGGCGATGTGGGCGGGGACTGGGGAGAGATCAGGATGGCTCGGGTTCTGATTACTAGATGTCGACAGTTTCATTGTCTCTCGATATCGACGGCGCCTCCTCCCCCTCCTCGGCAGGCCCCCCTCTTCCTCGCGGTGCCTCCTCTCCCGCGTCGGGCCCACTGGCGCACGCCCCGCGGGTGGGCCTTTCCTGGGGATTCGGGCCAGGCGCTGGGCGCCAGGCACTCGCACTCTCCGCGCCCTTGCCGCGCGTGGGGTCCTCGGAGTCCTCGTCGCCGTGCCCTTGCCGGCCTCGTCGAGCCGACGCGTCTTCTCGCGCCGCGCTGGCGACCGCGGCGCGCGCGAACTGCCCGCGGCTGGCGGCGGCGTGGGAGGTTGCGCGGGTCCGATTTGGCGCACCATGTGGTCCTCGGCATGGACTCAGTCCCACAAGGTCTTCCACGTCGCGCAAGCCTCGAAGGTGTCCGTGACCGCCTTGCACGCGTAGAGCTGGGAGTAGGGCTGCTCGCCGCCGTCCGTCAGCCCCCGCGCCTTCCCAGGCTGCAGCCACTTCATGACGTTCTTCAGCATGGCGATGTGCCCGCGCTTGCCGCGCTGCTCACCCAAGTTGAAGATCTTGGAGCTGTGCGCGCGCATGTACTGGCCCTCCACCGTGTTCCTCGACATCAGGTGTTCGACGTCGCGCTGCGCTGGCGCGCACTCGTGTCGGACCTGTGGAAGCCGTGCTGGCGCATCACCAGGACCAGGATCTGCTGCTTCTGCACGTTCCACACAGCGTCGACGATGTTCTTGCAGACCTGCTCGCAGCCCTCCTGGCGTATGACCGTCCTCTGGGTCTGCGCAGCGTTGCTGTTCTCCTGGTGGCCGATGGTCCGTGAATGATCCTCCGTCAGAGCTCGGCGCGCGCCGTAGAGCGACACCTCGCCGCCGTCGGCCGCGACTTCGTGAGCCATGTCGTCCACGAGGCTCCTGTGCTGCTGGCCGTAGCCGACGAAGGCGATAACCTGGGCGAGCTCCTTTGACGCAGTCCACCATCGCGGCGCAGGAAGAGCACGAGGCGTCGGAGATGCGCAGCGCTGCCCGCGGCGCGCGCGCGCCCAGTGAGCCGCAATGGCTATTGAGTGATGGTGGATGTTGAGTGTTGATTGTCGAGCGTCGATTGCACCTTGTGGAGTCTTGGTTCCCAAACCATACCTGCTTGAAGGGTGGATGCCTGTGCTTGACGAGGTTTTATACCTTCACGCGGCCAGGTCAAGTTCGACCCCGTCGGCAGCCGCAGCCCTTCCGCCGAAGCCCGATTGGACAGAAGCTCCAGCGACGCGCCTTTGCGACATCGATCGGTGTCCAACGGCCCCAGGGCACAACGCAATATCCAGGGCGACCAATGCTGAAGCCGATGTCGACGAGGTGCTTCGCATGGTGGTACCCTGCTGCGCCCCCTGCTCTGCCCTTCATCCCCTGCCCTATACGCGCCCCCTCCACTCTCCCCAAACATTCCTCATCCTCCGCAGCTCCCTCCCCCCCTCCCGCCCCTCTGCCCCCCCCCCCCCTCCCCTCCCCCCATCGCCCCCGCGCCCCTCTGTCTATTGACGCGGCGCGTCAACTCGCAACCGACGCGGAGGAGCAGGAAGAGGACGACGACGACGACAAGGGGGATGAGGAGGGAGGAGGACGATGAAAATATGGGATATGGCGACGCCAATGTCGAGCTCCCATGCTGGATTTCGCGCTACCACATCACGAATGCTTCAACTGTTGCTCATTGGGCCACGGCTCACTCATCGTCTTCGACTTCGACAAGGTCCTCTGCATCGCCGTCGGCGGCGCCCTCCTGCGACTCATCTTCGGGGCCTGCAATGTCTCAGCTGAACAGCTCCATCGCCTCCGACGCGGAGCTCGCTTTTCTGTGCCCCACGTGCGCATTGCCATCGCTGGCGGCACGCCTCAGCACGAATTTCTGCTTGACGTTGGGAAATTCAGCCCATGACAATCTGTAGCGTCGACCTCCTGCTCTTTGGAAACCCTGTCGGACGGATGATGCATGTGGACGGCCCCAGACGTGATCTCGAAGTCGGCGCGCTTGTAAATGCGCCACGAGGTCCTCCAGCTGCGCATGCAAGGGTGGCACCAGGCCTGTCCACTACGACCTTGAACGCAATGCCTTGGATAAACTGTGTTACCGTGAACCCTGTCATGGTTTCCTTCGGATAGTTTCTTCCAGGATCTGGGTCCAGGCGGTGGCAGGCTACCGCCCTGCACATCAATGAACGCCAATCGCGTCCATGGTTGCTGCCAACGTAGACTTGCATGCATCATCTCGAGGCCGCCCCACCACTTCGCAAATCGACGCGTTAGCTCCATAACACCAGCACGGCCCTTCTTGAGGCGAAAGAACGTACAGCCATCTACTTCCTTACAGTTCTCCAAGAAAACTGGCGAAGCCATGTGCGGGGCGCGCGCGAACAATTCTGTCCGCGCACCACTCAGGAAATCGCGGCATGTCAGGTAACGATATCGACGTATTGCCAGACGCGCGCGGCGGTGCATCCGTACCCTGAGCCCAACAAGCCACGCGCGACGTTTATTGATATGAACATGCGACTGTCGATTGACGCGGCGTCGTGAATCTGGTGCTCCAGAACAGCAAACACGCCCCACAAGAAAAACGCACGCGCTCAAAAAGAAACGCGGAAATGCCCCGGCTTTTAGCTACTCCCCCTGCGACGCACGAGCCTCGGCGATATGATTTTTTCTCGCGCGGCCAAAACTCCATGGGCATCCACGACTCCATGATCGATGTCGACGCGCGTGCGTCCACCTCGCCGCCGGCGCGCGCTTTCTTGTCCGTGGAGACAGCGAGCTTCGGAGGGGCCCTCTTCTTGGCGGGGGTCGGGGCCATGGCCTTGGGAAGCGCGAGCGCATCTCCAACGTTCACAGCCACGATGTTAGTAACAACGGGGGCCTTGATCTCGTAAACCCTGGCGCTGCCCACTGATAGGGCCACTGGATGCTGACGCATGGCGCAATTAGGCTTCTCATGCTCTGGGTCCGCATGCGCAATCTTGAAAGCAATGTTCAGTTGCTTGAAACCACGGTCTAAGAGGGCGAAGGTTGACGTGACCATTTCAGCTGGACTGGGCACCTCAAAGTAGGGGTGCTCGGTGTCGCACTTCTTGATGCTGAGACACGCCGGCGCAATCTTCAGCTTCCCAGCCCTGTAGTGTTTCTGGGGGTAAACAGTCTGCTCGGGTGTGCCGATTGCCTACAGATCGCCACCAGGGAATTTGAATGTTGACGTAGAGAATCCTGCGCTGCTTTATCGGGCCACCCAGCGAGCAACTCGAACTGTCGACTGGTCGGCGTGTACTTCTCGATGAACTTTGTAACAGCGCATCGAACGGCGACGCGGTTCAACATGCCATCCTGGTTCACCTCCCGAAGCCGAACGCCATCGGCCTCCGACATCGACGGCATACGTCACGCGCGCCCTGCGCGAGATAAAGCAAGGGCGCGACATACCACAGAAGGCGAAGACAGGTACAAGTTTTCAGTTCTCATGGGGTTATACCTGTATATCGATGCGTCTAACTAAGATTGCGAGAGTAAAGAGAGTCAGCAAGCTGGCACGACCCGCAGAAATTTGCACACCTGCCCCTCCCCCCGTAGCTCGACCGCGCCCCTGGGCCTTCATCGTCCTTCCGCAGCACGATGGCCACATCAACTCCAACATCATTGCCCTCGAGGGCGCTAAACTTACAGTTCGCGATCTCCCCATCGGCGCCATACTCCAACCTGCCATTGAAGGAGGTACCTTGGATATTATCGTCAAATGCACCGGCCCCTGCCCCAGGCTGAGGGGTGATATGCGGGTTGTCTATCTCGACGCGACCCTCCTGCTTGGCCTTCAGAGACTCGATGCGCTCGCGAGCGCCGCGTTCGATGGTCGCGCATTCCTTCTGGACCTTTTCCCTAGCAGCAACGTTGCTATCAGCTGGTCTGCTTGACATATGATCTTATTTTTCTCCAGCGTATCGAAGTCGATCTGCCTGGCCGCACCGTGAATATGTCGAAGGACCTTCTGGGCGGCCATCGTGTTAGCCGAGGACTTCGCGTTGGAAAATAAGCCGTTCATCTCTGACATACTAACAAACCTGCACATTCGACTCTGCGCGGATTCGGGTGGGGGGGGCCCTTCACAGGAGCCTTGATGACGGCCATTATCACATGGGGCGGCATCTCCGGCACTGCGAGCTTAGGCTCGCAGAATGCTTCGAACGCGCGCCCGCCCGCCAGGCGCCCAGCGGGCGCGCGCCTGCTTGCGGGCTCTGCGAGGTCTCTGACGAATTGACCCTCCAGGCCCCCACCATGTTTTTGGATGCAGTTAGCACATGCGTCGATATCATCAGCGTACTTCGACGTCGATCGGGCCGCCTCAGTTTGCACCTTAGCCAAATTGATCGCGTTCCCGTCGCTCGCCTGATCCCGAGCTATGGGATGGATGTGAAGGAGAAGCTCGAAATTGGTTTCTTCGCCATGCGCCTGGCCCGTTGCTTGTTTCGCTGCCTGGATCAACCCTGGAAGTTGTGGCCGACGCCCCTCTGCCTCCTTCTTCGCCATCAACCACATCGACCCAATGCCAAATGCTTCATCCAACTGTTTATCTTTACACCTGATCTGCGCCGCGTCGATGACGCCGTCGCTATCGGCCAACAATTTCTCGGAAGCCGGAACAGCGTCCAAACGAGCCACCAAGAACTGATTGGCGTGCCGAGAGCTCACGCTTCCCGCGACAATCGAATCGGGCGCGATCGCCCAAACAATGGCGACGATTGTTGGGGCTCCCTGGTGCACTCTGCACTCTTGCGGTTTTTATCCTCGAAGCATACGGGGTCGGACGCGGCTGCAAAACTGAAGAGGTTCCTCGCGATCTTAGCCCCGAGCCTGTGCCCCATCGTGGGCCTTCGCGCCCAAGCTATATCTGTTTGAGAGGTGAATGCCTACTTGGTGGGATTTTAGATGCAACCACGCGGCCATGCCAATGGCGATCAACTTCTCGAGGATCATGTCCACCAGACCGACAAGGCCGTCGTCTGACCGCCACGCTTCGACGAGGCCGCCCAGGGCATGGGCCCCGTCGGCGACCGACGCCATCGCGCGCTCGATGTCGATGCCACCTGCAGGGAAATCGATGCCCGATCGACTCTCCCGGCATTCGACTTCGATGGCGTTCAACTTCGACTGTTTCCGATTTCGAGGGCGATCGATTCCGATGGCAAGAGGGGGCGGGGGAGGACGGGGGCGGAGGAGGGCGAAAGGAAGACGAGGAGAGGGGAGGGAAGGGAGGGGGATGAGGAAAAAAGAAAAGGAAGGGGCAATAAGAAAACAGAGGGGGAGGACGACGACGACGAAGAGGAGCAGGAAGAGTGAGCGAGGACGAGCAGGGGGGGGGAGGTCGCGGCGGGAGGGGGGGCGGGGGTGGCGCCTGGTACTTGAAATACAACGGGGGGGGGGGGCAGCGGAGGGGTCGGGGGCGCGCGCGCGCGCCGCTCGCCCCCCCGCCCCCCCCGCCCCCGCGCCCGCCCCCCTCCCCAGCCCCCCCCCCCCCCCCATGCACACGGTAGTCGACGTCCTCTCCGATAATCGATTTCCCGCGCGGGGAGGGGGGGAAGTGAGTCGTGCGCCTACCGTCATCAGCGTCGTCAGCAAATCACCATCGCCATGGTCGCCCTCACCACCCCCTGCAAAAACAGAAAAACGACGCGCCTCAGCCCTTCCGTCCTGTCACCCTCACTCACTCTCACTCCCGATATCCCCCCTATCTCTCTCTCTCTCTCTCTCTCTCTCTCCCTCCCCCTCGCTCCCTCTCTCTCTCTCTCTCTCTCTCTCTCTTTCTCTCTCTCTATATATATATATATCCTCTTTCATGTTTTCCTCTCTCTCTCTCTCTCTCTCTTTCCCTCTCTCTCTCTCGTTCTGTTCTCTCTCTCTATATATATATCCCCCTGTCTCCCCTCCTCTCTCTCTCTCTCTGCGCC